AGGAATGAAGGAGGAGACCAAAGACAGAGCTTCAGGGAAAGAATAAATGAGTCTTTGCAAAAGACCTGGAGGAAGGAGGAGAGGGTGGGCCCAGAATTCAGCTCCAGAGCAGAGGTGGGGAGGTGCTCTGCACCTGAAGGCAGGTGTGCCCTTGCTGCAGCACTTCAGAGCATCGGTCAAAGCAAGTATGCAAACTTGACAGGCAATGGATCATTCAGGAGAAGGCTGGACAGCTTGCTACCAGCTCCTTGAAACACCAGGGTAACCTGGGGGCTGATGCTTTAGATAAGCCCTTATTCTTTTGTGGGGATTTCTGCAGGACAAACATCTTCACCAGCCTTGTGACCAGCATTTCAGGTCAAGCATTGTGAGGGCCCCAGTGTTCAACCCCAGGCAGCTGACAGTTGCCTCTGGGCAGCCAGTTTAAGAGCTCAGCACAGCCTAAGTGCAGTTTCAAGGCACAGCAGAGAAAGAGTTCTGGCTCAGCCGGAATAGAAAGCAATTCTTGAAAGTGCTCTTTGTTTCCCTGAAAAATCCAGGCTGGCATTCAGACTCCTGCTTGGGGTTTCACTCAAAGAAGTTAAGACCAAAGTGTCAGAATGCAGAGTGAAAGCTGGAAAGTTGGACTATTTCCTTGTGTCAGAGAAAGCACGGGGAAAGAAAAAGATACGCCCTGCTCAAAAAACTGCGTGTACGTTTGCAAACCCACAAGTCATTAAACACAGAAAAAGCCATTAGTTGTGTAGGACCCACAAAAATGTCGTGTTCTGCCCCTGCTGACTCCGCAGTTTGCCAAAAAAACCTTATTCCCAGTCCAGCACTGTCGTGACTGGTAATGCTGGGGCAGAGGCCTGCTAAAAGGCAGTGGATTAAGTTATTGTTAGAAAAAAACAAACCGTGTTCGTTTCAGCCCCACAAAAGCACAGTATCTGCAGAAGCAGAGAGACCAAGCCCAGCAAAGAGCCACTTTGTTTCAGTCCCCAAGGAGGCCAATTCAAACTGGAGCAAAAGGAAAAGATAAACCTTCTAACAGCCTCTCAACGACCCCAATTTTTTTTAAAAAAATCAGTTCCTAAAGCAACACCTCTACGTGTGTGTTCCTTTTTTTATGATTATTTTGGTTAAAACCAGAAAGCTGAGGGTGAGGAGCAAGAACCACATCGCTGAGAAACCCTGTTTATTTTCCCCAGCCCAGGCAGGTTGGGATGTAAAGCCCCGTTAAGGTTTTACAGGCTGCCTGGGTTTCCCATTCTGTGGATACAGAACCTCGTGCCCACCAGAAGGTGAACTGGAAGCAGCATTTTATGCACCAAATTAATGTTCCACTTGCTGCTGGAGGGACAAAAAGACCTGGTGTTCCAGCATTGGGCCAGCACCTCTCTGCTGCTGTCCACCTGCCTATAAGTGATGCTGCTCAGAGAACTGACCAGAACAGCTCCCACCTGTACTGGGCAGACTGGAGGGGGAGGCTGGAGGAGGTGCTGAGCAGTTTCTTTGCTGCAGTCAAATTAACTATGTTCCCAGGCTCTGCAGAGGGCTTAGGGGGATGTCAAGCAGCATCAGCACTGACCTGTGAACAAAGTGCATTCTTGTGGATCTTCTTGTAAATAAGAGCTGGGCAGATAAAACAAATGAGGCTTCCCATGGTAGCACCTGTCAGGCCCAGGACTGTTTCCACTGAGAAAGAAAAAGAGGAGAATTCAGCAAAAGCTCCTTTTCCAGGAGAGGCAGAGCAGCAGCACGTGGTGGCTGTGTGAGCCCCTGGGCAGGCTGGGGTGCATCCCCTGACCACCCCACCCAGGAAAGGAAATAAAAGAGACCAGAGAAAATAACCAAGCAACCAACCCTTGTCCCCAACTCCCCACTCACCGTTGGGGATCATGATGCCTCCTACCATGGTTCCAAACACAACAGCCAGCGTCAGGGCTTTGAACCGAAGCGGGGGCATGTAACCCCCCGCAGCGAAGGTGCCGTCTTTTTGCTGGAAGAGAAAGAGCAGGAGAGAGAAAATTAGTTTAACTGCTGCACCACGAGCCCACAGCTCCTCAGCAATTACCCCAGCAGGCTCCAGCACCTCCACACGATGGTCTGGGCAGAGGTGAACGCTGGGGAAGTGTGTGTGTGTGGTGGGGGGCGGGGGGCAGGTAGATGTGGTTGAGCAGTTTTGATATGTAACTGCATTTGAACCTTCAACACAAGAGTGATGGGGGGCACGGAGCCAAAGCTGCTGTTTCCATCCTGCCCCAAATGTGAACTGTACAGCTGTATCCCAGTCCTGTGCCAGCGCTGCAGCCGCCCAGCCTCAGCAAGAGGCCCCAAGGCCAAGGGCATGAGAAAGAGGAGCAGCCAAGAAGGCAGGAGGGAGAATGGTGGGGGAAGAGCTCTGGTTTTGCTATGGGAAGGTGTCCCCAACACTTGCAGGTACACCAACACGTGTACCAGCTCCTCTGACTGGATGAAGACATCCCAGAGAGGATGATTGGTGCTGCTGGGGAGCTGATGCTGGAGGGTTTCCAGATGCCCTCTGCTTCCCATCCCATCCCCACACTCCAAGCACGAGGTGTGGAAAGACGAGGACCCAGCAAACCCACATGCCCTGGAGAACCAGCAGGACCTCTCTCTCTTGGCCACACAGATGATGGGAGAGGAAAGCAAAGTGACAGGTTCAGAGCCCAAAGAGCAAGGAGCAGAGCCCAGGCAAGAGGCACATCCTTCCCAAACACTTCCAGCACCCGCTGGCTTTCACCGATCATCTTCCCCCATCCCCAGGCCCTCCCGACGTGAGAAAAGAGCCGGGGGCTTCTCACAGGCAGAAGTGGCAGGATTTAGAGCTATAAATTGCTCGAGTTTTATTTCCTGCCCTAAGAGGTTTCTATTTATGCAGATACACAAAGGCCTCAGAACATTCCCACAATCTCTTACTGTTATTTACTGAATACCATCGGCATGCTTAGTGCCGTACAATACACAGAGGAGAACACGCTCCTGCCACAAGGGACTTACAGTCTAAATCAGACAGATCAACTGCAGTCACAAAGGCTGTCTGAAGATCTGACCCTGGGAAAGGTGAACGTGTGGGAGAGGGCTGTATTCCACCCCACGCTTCAGCACCAAACAGGGGAGGCACTGGAGGAAGGGCACATCTGAACCCTCAGGGGAAGTGGCTGCTCAGGGGGCTACTGACAGAGGTGTAAGGATGAAAATAATAATAATAATAAAAGTGCAGAAATGAGCAGGGATGGACAGAAGGAAGAAGAAATGAGGCTGGGCTGGGCTCTGAGGCCAGGAACAGAAGCTGGAGCTAAATGCAAAGGAAGGTGGAGTTGGCCAGTAAAAAGATGCCAGCTGGAGCAGCAGGAAATAAGGAGGCTCCTCTGCTTCCAAAAGCACATTTCTCCCTCTTTCTGAGGGACTCTGAACTGTGTAACACTTCTGTGCTGAAATCCCCAGCAGAGCAGGGAAGCAGCAGCCAGGGGATGTGGGGAGCAGAGGAGCAATAGCAAGTGTCAGGCTCACAGCTCCAGTGCTCCTACCCACGAAATTCCTCTGCAGAGAGGACGAGAACCTCCAAGCACCAGAGATGAACCATTCTGCAGAGCACGATTCACAGACTCCTGCTGCACTGTTACCACACACCAGGCACTTTGGATTTCACTGGGAGTTGAGGGTTTGTCCCTCTGGACAACGAGTAACTACCACAAGTCAGAAACACACAGTTGTCAACAGAGTCTCACAGAACCAGGGCACGTTTGTAGCCCAGCAGCCAGCAGCAGAAGCCACAGCAGCCCTTCAAAAAGCAAGTTTCAAAGGTGCACAGCAAGGTAGCCAGCTGCTCCTGGCCACACAAGAGGATCTTACCTGCTGCTCAAAGAGAAGGGTGTTCAGTGCCTGTCTGCACGGGAGAATCATCATCGGAAACCCCACAGCCACCGACATCATGAATCCCACTCGAATCATCTCCGTCACCAGGTTGGAAGGGAAGTTCATTAGGACGTTCCCAGCAATGGCTTCAGTGTAACTCACGTAGCCAAAGAAGCCCACCTGTGAGGCAGGAGGGGAGGTCAGTGGGTTTGACTCCAAAGCACATTCCTATCTGCTCTTTACAAAAGGGTGGAGGTCAGTGACCTCCCAGGAGTTGGGACCATCAGCCAAGGAGGGATTGCAAGGCCACCTCCACGGGCAACCCACCAGCAGCCCTAGCACCCCCAAAAGCTGAGACAGGCAGTTAATAAAATAGTGGGACTTTCCTAAAAGCAGAGGTGAGTTTCTCACTAAAGACAAGGGGTTTTCACGGGGGGCACTGCAGCGAGGGAACACTGCTCGTGACACAAAACAGGGACACCCTGCTTGCTGCCAGACCCACAGACCAGCCCCCTCTAACGAAGGAGGGGCCGTAACGACTCCCCGCAGCAGCCCAGCTCACAGGGGCTGGCTCTTCTCAGGAGTTATTAACTCAATTTTTATTAACTGGTGCTTTATGAGGCATAACTTCCTTCATCACGTCTTTCCAATTGCAACAGGCTGAAAGAAGCTCTCCTGAAGTCTGGGCAGCATCTCCAGCTCAGGCTGGGCCCTGGAAGGCAGACAGCCAGCTGATAAGCACGGAAGAGCTGGGTCTCCACTCAGGGAAACACACCACACTGGAAATCTGGACTCTCCAAATACCTCCTGCGCTGTTCAGCTCATCATCTCCCATCTAATTCTGCTTTCAGCAAAATGACTTTCAGAATAAATAGAGATAAGCAGAAAGCAGCCCCAGCTGAAGATAAATCATCATCCCTGTTACCCCTCCAGAGTGTGACTTGTGGCAAGGAAAGAGAAGGGGAAGTCTCTTACCGTAATGTAAAAGGTGGTGACCACGTTTAGGGAAGAAGCAAATATGGAGCTCATGATTTTAACAGAGGGCTCATCCAAGCTATCATAGGTAGGCAAAACCTGACTGTAGAAAAAGGTAAATTATTTAAGGAAACCAGAGAGAGAGAGAAAAACCCAACTCGAGCACGTTCCCTGCCTCAGCCCAGCAGCAAAGAATCCCTGACACCTTCCCCCTACGGAGCATAAACACTCGCTGCTATTCCACAATTTATATTGCAAATGCCAAGAGATTTCAGAACACTCATAACTTTTAAGTGTTGCAAAAATATTCCTCCTCTCCACACCCCACCACGTGGAGCTGAACGTGTGATGTAAACATTTTGGTTCAAAAGTGTTGCAAAATGAATGACCGTTTGTTCCAGTGAAACACCGGTGGCACCGGGCCAGGCAGCTCATTGCAGATTATTGTTCTTGGAGCTCTCTGGGTTGATAATTAAAGCAACGCAGTGTTTACAGAGTAAAAGCAGGAAGAAGGTTAGAGCATCGCACTGTCTAAAAGTTAAACAAACAGAACTCAAGGCAGCGCCTGTCGGATCTCAGCGCTGCCGCTCCAGCTCCGCTCAGAGAGAGCCGGGAGCGCCAATTCCGTGGGATTTGGGGTATTTACACACTTGGACAGCGTGTGGAATGTACTCTTTGACATCAGGTGCATATTTGAGCAACTCATTAACCTCTTGTTATTTTAATTCAAGTGGCTACATCCTGGCTTCATGTTACTGAAGTAACTCTCACGAGAAGTTGTGGGGGGGAGCATCCAGGGAGGTGGGAAGGGGGTATCCCGGTATCCCCAGCTCCAGCGGGCACAAAGCCACTAACAGAGAGTGTGTCAAGCTGAGGCCGAGCAGAAAAATCCTTAACCCTTAATCCCTGAACGTCAAACAGTTCTGCACAAAGGAAGCTGAGCAGATTGGCTCCTAGGGGCCGGGAATGCAGCACCCTGACAGCCTCTGAGCAGCCGGGAGGGAGGAGAACAGCTTCCCCAGGAGTCTCTCCACTTCGGATTCCACCTCCACTAGATTAACCAACTCTGTCCCTGATTCCAGCCCCACAAGCCAGCCAAACATCCAGGCCCAGGAAGGAGAAGAAAGGAGGGAAGCAGAGAGGCTCTGCAGAGCATGGGATGGCACAGCCAGGCCAGGTGCCTGTTAGTGCAGGAGCAACGGCAGCGACACGGGGCAAGCACTCCTGCAATCACCCAACAGCAGCTGTTTGGTCAGCCTGGGTTGGGAGGAGCAGCACAGCATCCCTCAAGTTCCCCCATGACATGCTGCTGGACCCTCCTGACCATCACCACCTCTCCAGCCAGAGCAAGAGGATGTTCCTGATGCACCCAGGGTTTATTTTTAAGCAAAATGACTGCCCTGAAGGTCACTGAAGGATCAGGGATCCTTCCCCAGGGGTTATTTATTACGATGCAACTCAAAGAGGGCGTGAGCAGATGGCTCCTCCTGAGCAGAGACAAGTCTGCACAAGCAGTAAGAGCAGCTCTGGAACAAGCAGCCTTTGCTTCAGAGATGGCCAAAGCTACCTCAGGGCATCTGCTCTTCACCTTCACTGCAGGGACCACCTCGCACAGGCTCTTGGAGCACAGGACTAACAGCCTGCAGGGAATTGATGCTCACAGAGGCAACAAACACCACCCTGACTTCTGTTATCCCAGTGAATTCAGCATTTCTGCACCCAGAACAGCCATCTCCAGAAATGAGAAAGTTTTCTCCTGGAAAGCTCTACTGACTCCTCTTTAATCAGAGGGTTCAGTGACTTGACCAAGGACACGCAAGGAGGAGGCAGCAGAGTAACCCTGGAGTCCTCGTGCTCCCTGCTCTCAGCTCCACAGCACATTTCCACACCACCTAACTGCAGAGGAGCGACCTACTCTGCAACTTCAGCCACGACAGGAGAGCTTTTAAAGAGCAAAGGGTACTGAACTCACCAGTAAAGCAGGGTCAGGTTTGTCAAGCTAGAATAACAGTGCTTGTTATTTGTCCTTACTGCACGCTGCATTTATGTGCTGAAGGAAAAGGATTTCTGCTTTATGTTAGAATTATTTATTTCTTAAAAAAAAAAAAAAAGGTGATTCAGAGGTTAGGAAAATTAAACCCACCTAGCTGAGCATAACACGTTTATAAAGATTGCCTGGGCTGAGGACAGTGTATTGCCCTGATGCTTGGAAATAAAGCAGAGCTTTAGGTTTGGCTTGCCACGTAAGTGCTGTAATGGAGCCTATATTTAGGTACGTGCACACTGGTCCAGACCAAATGATTTCCCTGCATTTCCAACTCCCAAGCAAAATTGTGCTGGGTACTGTGTGGCTACCATAAGAAAAAAAAAATTGGAATTAAACTCTACAGTGTTAACAAGGTAAAGTTGTAAAAGACTACAATTCCCTTTGCTGGTTGTAATGGAGACATTAAACAGCAAGACTGGAGCGTGTTCGGGTAGGAACTGAGCTGCCAAGAGAGCCAGTAAGTGGAAAATGATGATTTGGATCTTGCATGTGGGTGTAAACACAGCAGTCTGAACAAATTTTATCTGTCACATTCATTTACTGCTGGCATCCTACCCATTTGCTAGAACTACAGGGGGGGGAAAGCCCGACTCTACCAGCCTTTCCAAATGAGGATGGTCTTTTCCGTGTCCACATTTGGATTTACACTTCTATTTAAAGTCTCTTACTATTCTGGCCAGGCACGTATTGCTCATTTGCCATTTGGGTGCAGGAGGTAACGCTGCTAGAAATGTGAAAAATAGCCTGGTCTGCTGTCAGGTCCTTCCACGTGCCAGTGGGAACCCTCACGAAAACCAGGCAACTGGAAACACAGAGAACAACTCTCCAAAGTCAACGACTGTGCCATCTTCTGAGTTCTCTCAAAGAAATGTGGGGAAACAGAGAGCAGCCACGAGTGTACGTGACCCCACGGGGGCTCCTGTGGCTGTTAGGTGACAGCCCCACCGCCTGTCCTGCTGCTGAATCATTCCCTTGGAGAAACAGGGGAAACTCATCACTTCTGCAGCTGCACCAGAAGCAACAGCGAGATGGGAAGGGGGTATCCAGTGCATTATGCTGAGGATCTGTTTGGTCCCAAAATGATCTCGTGTTGCTTAAGCACAATAAGTCCTGAGTGAAATATAACTCCCTCCCCCATCCAGGTAACAAAAGGGTCACAAGGGAATGAGATGCTGGACTTCAGTGGGCTGTCAAATATTTTGATTAAAATAAAATAGGAAACCAGATGGTATCTATCCCTTGCAGATCCTCAGGACCCTCTGCCCTCAGAAAAACAAAACCCAACCAACTCATTGCACACCACAACTGCCAGAGGTGGGATTGGCAGGTACTTACGACTGACAGGCAAAAGACATGCCAAAGATGGGGATGCAGCGAAAAATGCCCTCCCAACGAGTGTAACTCACTCGCTGCAGCCACTGCCCGCTGAAGAGGCCGTGCTTGAAGGATGACAGCACAATCTGTAGCCAAGAGAAAGAAAAGAGGTTAAGATCCAACCCAAGGAAACAACTCCACGGCAGCAGGAACGCCGGTGCTGGGATAAAAGGCAGCGTGTGGCAGCGCTGCGAGGAACAGATCCATCTCCATCACCCACACACTTCATTACAGCTCCCAGCAACCTCCAAAGGCCCCTTGCCACCAAGGATCCTGGGGTCTATTTTAAAAGATCTATGACATTCCCCCCTCATTTGATGCCATCAGACATCAGAGCACATACCAGGGTGAAACAATTTGCACTGACACATTTAACTGGGAGAATTATTGTTCCCAGCAATTCCTTTTGCACTTTTTAAAAACACATTTTTAAATCTAAACGATGGGAAGCGACCGTTTGCCTCGGAGAATCCTGTTCATCAGAGAGACAAAGGTTCCTAAAACAGGACCCCACCTGCACACTGCTACTCCAGAGCTATTTAACAACACCAGTTCACCAAAGATAAGGATAAACTTCATGAAAACAGGGGGAAAAGCCACTCCGATGAGGCCAGGGGAGCTCTTTTGCTATTGACAGGGAAACTGGCAGGCATTGGGTTGCACAGGAAACAGAAGGTAAATATGTCTGAATGCCTGTTTATAATATCGCCTGAATGGGGGTTTTCTAATCCCCAGAGATGATGTTTTAGTGCAGCCAACTCTCATGAAATGTTGTGGTTTTCTTAAAGGCACAGCTCCTGGAACACGGCAGTTTTGTAAAACACTCATGTACAGTTTCCACCCTCCTTACTCCAAGCAAGCTCCAAAGCATGACCCAGCACAACCTCCTAAAAAAAGCAGAGTGGAAAGAATTTCCCCACCTCCTTCTTCTTCCTTTTGTTTCAGCTCTACCAGTCCTGAAATTTGGGAGAGACAGGGCTGGGGCTCTGGCAGCAAACCACATGAGCATCCATGAGGTGAATGACTTCAAGTCATTAAAAAGCAAGTGAAAGTCTCCACCTCTCATTAAATGCTGCCTGGCCACAGCAAACCAGGGCAGCTTTGGGTAACTCCACTCACCCTACTTCATCTAAATGGTCAAGAATCCATTCAGCTCTGTGAAGAAAAGCTTTTCTAGAAGGATCTAAGAACGCCACGTACCAGACTTCAGACTTCACAAAGCTTTCAATGCTTAAAAAAAATAGCAGTGCCAGTGTCCTACAAATAAAACTGCTTTGCAGCCTGAAAGACATTAACCATCAGCTGCACAAAACCCATGCAAAGGACACGCTTGAGTTCCCAACAAGAGCTGCCTTCACCCTACAGATTGAAGCATTGAGGTTTGCAAGGCAAAAACACTAAGGCATGATGAAAGTCCTGCTGCTGCCAGGCACTCTTCCCCACATCTTCCATCCTTTGATTCCAAGTTCAGAGCCCTAAATTATAAGACACCAACAAGGAGAATAAACCACAACTCGATTTGTGGTTTATTATTATTTGTGCCAACCACAGTCCCCAGCATGTGTAATAGTTTACAGACCCACTGGCCAGCTTCTACAGTTTGCACTTCCCCACCTCCACCAGCTCAAGAGCACAGGCACTCAGATCACTCATTACACCCAGCACTAATTATCAGGAAGGACATTTTAAACTTGAAGGCTGCACCTGCAGGCTGTCCCAGGGGGAACATCTGTGTGAAAACAATCAGGAAAACAGCATTCTTAGCATTGATACTCACCACGAACATGAAGACGGTGTAGAAGATCAGAGCCATGGCACTGAATGACTGTATGGAGGCCATCATGTTCCTCTGGAGGCTCAATGGAAGGACAATGCACAGGGAGACAGCAAAGAGCAGGACTATCCGGAAACTGCCCGACACCTGGAAAGAGAGACCTGCGTAAAGAACTGGAACACAAAGGATATTCAAAACATCCCACCAAATTAGCAAAGTCACTCCCCAATGTGCTTCATTTTTCCAGAGTGAGAAACCACGCGCAGCCAGGATGGATTTCTGCTTCTCTTTGTGAAGAGAAATTCTGCTTCTATTTGTATTTAAAGATTTGAGGCTGCAAATCTGCCTTTTGTTTGGCGAGGTCTGTGATTAGCTTACACTGTCACTGGGTGCCACTGTTGCTCTGCACAGTTCGTGACAGGTCCATCCTGAAGTGGAAGTATTTTTTTTGGGGGGGGGGGGGGGGGAGGTAGGGGGGTGTTTAAATGCTAATCCAGCACAAGCTATTTAGGTATTTCATGCAATTAAATAAAAACTAAAACTTACTTGAGAGACAAGAAATTAAAGTCTTAAAAATTGCGATCCAGAAAATTAATCAAAAACCTGACGTTGGTATTTATTATAGCAGAACACTCTGAAATGCTTGGAAATATTTAATACCTAATTTGGCTGCAGCCACAACGCATCTTTTGAACTTCACAGTCCCTTAATCAGAGCTTAGCAGCATCAGGCAGAGCAGATAACAGCCTGGCCAAAAACCCTTCCACATGTCCACGTCCCTTCCCTGTACGGCCCTCGCGCTGCCGCCGGCTGCTGCTGCTCAAAGCTCTCCAGAAAAAGCAGCAAGAGCCTCCAGCCCATGAGGAGCACCTCTTGGCCACTGTCCATCTTGAGCCAACGCTGGGGTCATCAGAGCTTATTGTATCTCAGCAGTACACAGTAACTTTGGCCACCAAAACAGCAAGGGACAGGAGAAAAATTCCTCTTGAGCTAGAGAGGGTGAGAGCTGGGACAGAGGAACTGTCTGTCACTACCCGTTAGGGGCAGGAATTAAGACAGGAAGCATCATCTCCTCCAGGAATGTGCTCCAGAATTAACAAAGACCAAGTTAAAAAGAATTCCTTTGTTGGAATTGACTTCTTGGAGGTTTTACACATCTGATTGTTCACCATATGTCTGGGTTTCCAGGACTTCATAGAGCTAAATGCTCTGCACAAAGCAGGTCGTTAAAGCTCACCACGAGATGACCCCACCACACCTGGTGGGCTGCCGAGCACACTGCTAAAGCAGGACACCCTTTGCTGTATCTCAGGCTTGATGAGAGAAGAACTGGGATCACTGTCTGCATCGTGGATGGGATCCAGTGAGGATTTATTTACCTGAAATCCAAGCAGCCGGGCAAAGAAGTTGGACCCCAAATCACCAATGACAACGTAGAAAGCGATGCAAGTTCCCAGCATCAGCCCAATCATGCTGCAAAAATAAAACACACGAGGTCAGGAGGCTGGAGCAGGAACCCTGGAATGCAGCTCCTGCTCCTGGGCAGGCGTGTGTGAGCAGCCACATTCCCAGTGGATTCATACTCTGCACAGCCCGAGAGGACGAGGCTTTGTTAATGCTACAGCCACCTCAGAGACACCTGGAACCCAGACTGGTTTGGGTTGGAAGGGACCTGA